AAGGCGAACTGAAGAAGAAGATCCTCCTCTCCGAGCTTCGTTGTTCAAGATTGGAGAGCTGAAGAAGACGATTTTCTTCAAAGATTCATGGGTAAAGTGTTGTTCCATCAGATTTTCTTTTGAAAGTTGAAAGAAAATGCTTCACAAATCAACTTGCTTCATATCTTAAAGCTTTAGGGTTGTTGGAATAGAGTTTATCAGGTAAGATATTTTATCTTCAAAAGTCTAAATTATAGCTCTAGGATTTTGATATTCTTTTGTGTCAGTCCAAAATTAAAGTTAGGGTTTTTATGACTTGTTATTCATACGAATTTTATTGATTTAGGGAGTTTAGTTTTTAGTTGTATGACGTATAAATGGGCAGGTTATCTTTAACAGACTAAATTTTTTCTCTTAAATGTTGAATGTAGAAGCTGAAGCTAAGTCAAAAGTATCTGAAGAACTGAGTTGTAGCTAAGTTATCTTTCTTCGAAGAACTGAAGTGTTGAAGCTGGTGATACCTATAATATTTTGTCCCTAATATAGATTTCGTCAAGTGTAAGTAGCTACTCTACATGAATTTGAAAAAGTTTTAATGTATGTTTTAATGTCACTGTTTTTTTAGTCTTTTTTAGTCTTCCTGAGTTCATGATTGTGCTCGTCTTAAGCTTGGTTTGTTCCTTTGTTAACAACATTGATTCTGTCTTATAGCTATTTGCTGGTAAAATTTTTCTTTTTTCGACTACATGTCTTGAAGTGTCTAGAAGTCATTTTGTTGTTTGTCTTAGTGCATTTTTGAAGTATAGATTAGAAACATTAGTTCAATATTGCTTAGTTGTTTCGGGATCAGCTCGTAGTATGAATTTGTTAAACTTGCTTTGTAGTTTGAGTTGCACTATATAGAAAATAAATCATATGCCTTAGAAATTGGAGATATAAGATATATTTTTCAAGTCTAGAACGGGTGGACTGGGAGCAGTAACTTGTGAGAGTCTTTTCTGCTAACTGTTTCTAGCAATAACAGAATAAAAGTAGAAGATTTGTTTTTGTGGTATGGACAACTTGTTGGATTTTGGATATTGTTGAAAGTGAGGCTTGCTACATCTAAGTTTTAGAAGAATTAGGAGAAGTTCGTGCAAACAAAATGGAGAGAAAGTTTTGTATGATGTTAAAGTTTGACCTATTTGATGAGTTAGATGCAACAGATGAGATAATAGCTTGTAACTTTTCAATTTCATTACATGTCAAGTTCATCCATATAAAATAGTAGTAAATAGAATTGTAAAGACAGTCTATGGTCAAGTGCTTTTTTCCTCACTGACTATGTTTATCGGACTCTCCAAATATGTTATCACACCCACGCATGTGCTGATAAGTGAACTAGAAATCGGACTCTCCAAATTTGAGTTTCACTAGCTAAGTCTACTGTCCGAAAAAGTGAACTAAAAATCATCTTTTAAGACTGCATATTCTGCTATCTCCTGTTGTTCTTTTCCTCTTTAATATGAATTTTGTCATACATACATAAAGCTTACACTTCTGCATCTTCGCATGTTTTAACTCTTCCAGCCAAGGACATACTAATGTACTCAATACTCAGTAGTTTAGATTCGTAAAAAAACCAAAAAGCACAAATCAAAACAACTAAAGCTACTCAACAACTTTACCAACAAATATCCAACAATTGTTCATGAAGAAGTTCAAGATTTATCATTGCTTCAATATGTTGGTGTGTGGATGAACGAACCTAACACTAAAAAGTGTCACACACGTCGATAGGGATAACCCCTGAAGACATCCACGGACGATCTTGGCTTTCTTGGACGATTTTTGATCTTTCTCTCCTTTTCTCTTTTCTCCCAATACCTAAGCTTTCTTAATCTTGTTAAACTTAATTAGGACTTGGTTTTAACCCCTTAAAAGAAGTAGGAACTACTACGGAGAAAAGACAAATTAGTCCTTACTAAAATTCGAAACGGATATTTCTTAGCTCAACAACCCAACATCCGAGAAGCATATCTCCCTCATACAAAATCAAATTTTTACAAACTCAGCGGCATTGGGAAGGCATTCCCAATATATTTCCAAACTATTACTGAGCTGGAAGGTATGGTTGTTTGATGTTAATCAAAAGTCACTTTTGAAAGCTTGAAATTTTCTAGATTTCCTTACTTAAATTAAAAAAATGATTATTCTTGGTTTCTTAACTGATTCATAGATGTTTCAAGTTACGAGATGTTACAATGTCTCACCCTTTGGAACAATCATTCTCAAATGAGAACTATTACATTAAGATAAGTGTAGTAAAACCATTTTAACACTCAACTAACAACATGCTTACACACAGTCTAATAAAGTGCTATGAAGAGAATTCAATACCTTGTGTATATTCTCCCCGGTTTCAAAGAGATGTGGATATCTCTTCTTTATATCCTCCTCAGCTTCCCTAGTCGCTTCTTAAATTAATTGGTTCCTCCAAAGGACCTTGACTAAATAAACTTCTTTTTGTCCTCAACTTCTGAACTTGATGATCAAAAATCTGAATCGAAAATTCCTCATAGGATAGGCTATACTAAATTTCAACATTCTTTGTTGGTACTATCAATGAAGGATCACCCAAGAACATCTTCAACATGGAATTATGGAATACGGGATGAACCACTACTAACTCTTGGGTAGCTCCAACTCATAAACCACCTTACCCACTCTCTTGGATATTCTGTATGGACCAATATTACCGGGGAGTATGTTTCCCCTTCTTACCAAACCTCATAAAACTCTTCATTGGTGAAATATTAGGATACACCCAATCATTCACCTTAAACTCTAATAACTTTCTCCTAACATCTATGTAGGACTTTTGGCGACTTTGCTCCGTCTTCAAACTTTCTTGAATCACTTTAACCTTCTTTATATCCTGGTGAACTAAATGTGTTCCTATCAAACCTACTTCGAAAACATTGAACCACCCAATAGGAGATCTACACCTTCTCCGATAAAGAGCTTCATATGGAGTCATTTGGATACTCGAATGATAACTACTGTTCTAAGTGAATTCAATGGGAGGTATAAGATCATCGAAATTTCCTTTTAGGTCGATCACACAAGCTCTCAAACACATATTCTAAGGTTTTGATAGTACTCTGTACTTATCCATCTATCTATGGGTAAAAAATTGTACTCAAATTTACCTTTGAATTCAAACCTTTAAGGAAAGATTTCAAAAATTGTGCAGATAATTCTGCACCTCTATTTGAAATAATGGAGACCAAAACTCCATGAAGTCTCACCGCTTCTTGAAAGTTAAACTTGGCCTAATCCTCTGCCAAATAGGTAGTCTTTATCGAAAATAAATGGGTTGACTTTGTCAGTCTATCAACAATACACAGGCCAAGCAAGCTATTGATGCATCCCAATGAACCAACAAAGCCTTGAGTACCCTACGATAAAGTAAAAACTGGAGCGGTAGTCAATCTATTTTTCAACTCCTGAAAGCTTTTCTCACAAGATTCAGACCATTAAATCTTGATTGTCTTCTAATTTAACTTGGTCAAAGGAGAAGAGATTGATGAGAACCCTTCAACAGATCTCATATAATAGCCAGCCTAGCCCAAAAAACTACTTATATTTGTTTGAAATATTGGTCTAGATCAACTCTGAACCGCACAAACTTTTGAGTGTCAACTGTAATCCCTTCACCAGAAACAATGTAGCCTAAGAATGCCACAGACATACGCCAAAACTCACACTTGGAGAACTTGACATATATCATTTTAACTCTAAAAGTCTGAAGAAAAATCCTTAGGTGACTAGCATGATCTAATTCACCCCTTGAATAAATTAGTATCTTATCAATAAATATGATGACAAACAAAAGCTCAAAAGATGCATACAAGTTCAACAAAAAGAGTCGTCCAAGACTAAGACCAACCAAATTTGTAGTCAAGAACATATATAAGTACAAGAGAGAAGGGGTAAAGTAGAAAAGCTAGCAAGGAAGTCCAAAGAGGAAAGGTGATACGGACGCTTGTAAAGACACCCACGACAAAATTTTGAAAGATGCATCTCTCCATAGCTGCCACTCTTGCACCCATACCATTCCTCACACTATAAAGTTTAAAAGTTATTTTCTTTTATAGATATATTTATTATTTTCGTGTAGAAGACTCTGTTTATAAGATCCATGAATGGTACAGGTGGATTTGTTAAACCGAAGGACATAACTAGAAATTCAGAATGCCCATACCTTGTTCTAGAAGTTGTCTTAGGAAAATCACATTCCCTTACATTCAATTGATGATAGCCTGATCTAAGGTAAATCTTGTAAAATCAAGTAGCACTCCAAAGTTGATAAAAAAGATCATTTATTCTTGGAAAAGGATATTGATTCTTGATGGTCACCTTCTTAAATTGGAGGTAGTCTATACACATCCTAATGGACCCATCTTTCTTTCTCACAAATAAGTCTGGAGTGCCACAAAGTAAGATACTTGGTCCAATGAAGCCTTTATCTAATAAATCTTTAAATTTCTATTTTTGCTCTTTAACTCTGCTAGTATCATTCTATATGCCGGAATAGAGATTTGACGAGTATTTGGGATGATTTCTATGACAAAGTTTATCTCTCAAACCGAAGGAAAGGCACCTAAACACTTGAGTCATTAACTCAGAATAAGTGATATATACATCCCTTAGAACATAAATTCCTTGATTTAAGGTACAAAATGAAACGACCCTTAGGCACTTTTGAACTACTACTCCACTCTGTGATTGACTCTTTAGTAATCAAACACTTGACAACTCGAGTCCTACAATCTATTGATGCATAACAAGCATAGAGCCAATTCATACCTAGATGAACTGAAATTCTACCATGTCTAACTCTATAAAATCAGACATGCTACTCTTGTGACTGACGAAAATAGGATAATCACAACAGACCCTTTCCGCTAAAGTAGATTTACAAACAAGTGTGGAAACACAGAATTGTTTGCTATGTTTCTCAAGAATATTCTCAAAGTTCATAACAACATAGGGAGTAAAGTTAAACTCGCCCCTGGGTCTAATAATGCATAAACAGCAAAGTCAAAGACTTGAATCATACCACTGACAACATCTGGTGAATTCTCTTGTTCTTTAAGATTATTAAGGGAATAAAAGTGTTTTGTGCCTCTTCCAGTGCCAGAATTAGCTCCCATAGTTGTAACTCTGTCTTGTGGAGCAACTAATGAAGACTGATCTCTATTGCCTCCATTGCAACCGATTTGGTTACACTTTGGACATTCTCTTATAAAATGCCCGGTCTGACCGCGCTTGAAACAACCCACTGAGTGTTTTCTACAAATGCTAGAGTGATTCCTACCACACTTGGAGCAGGCAGGAGACTTACTACCTCCATGTGCTACACTACCCTGCGAATATGAAGACTTACATCGAGTGTTTTAACCAATATACCAACTATGTCTCTAGTGCAGGTGCACTAGAAAATGATGGTGTATGCCCCTTTGATTTCTGAAATTGTGGTCGACTTGAACAACCCTTTTGTTGGCCAAACTCATTTCCAGTCTTTGCCTTCTTATTTCGATATTCCTCTATGTCCTTTATGTTATCCCTTTAAAATTGTTGGACATAGACCATAAGCTTGGATATGTCCATGTAACCAATCAACATAGCAGCCACACCTATCTTGCTTGAAGCACAATCCAAATCATCAAAAATCAAGGTTATTCTATTATTCACGTCTTTCACCATATCTAGAGCTTAGCGAGAAAGTTGGGTGAACGTCAACCTATACTTATGAACACTCATAGAGTCCTATTTCAATGTGTTGGAACTTCCGTATCCTTGCATCCTTCATTTATCGAATGATGAACTTTCCCAAGAAGGCTTCTCAACTCGGATGTGTTGCACCATCAGCTCTACTATCCTTCCATTTGTCAAACCAGGTTCTAGCCACACTCTTTAGTTGAAAGAATAAACATTCCTAAATTTGGTAGCCTCCTAATCATAGATGTGATGCGCATCACACCGATGACTAAGACTCTACACACATGACTTCATAGAATCCCTAGGACTCTTTAACTTTGTGCTCTTACAACAAGTTTATCATTCTCCGAGTCTACACCCTGGGCGGTATTGGCACTCAGTGACCACTGCTGTCCTCAAGCAAACCCTTGGACTGACTTACTCAACTCAGTGGAAGACAACAATCATGCTTATAAGAATTAAAGAACTTAACTGAACTAGAAAATAATATTATGTGGAATGTTTCAAAAAATTTAAACATTCAAACTAGCCAAAATAGGAAAAAAGTTTTAACATTAGAAAAAAAAAGTAGGCACTACTAAACTACTAATTGTTTATGAGGCCTCTAAAGTAGCTAAGATGAATGTTGGTACAAAACCCATAACGTTATATTGAACTAATCTAGATTTCCACAAAAAGATGTCCTCCTGAATGCAAGGAGGCTCACCAATTGACTCTGGAGTGCTCAACCGGTTCAACAGTGCACTAGATATCGATCATCATTACCTAAATCAACATCATGATTTAATGAAGTCCAACTGGCATCAATACATTGAATGTACGAGTATGCAAGTTAGAAACCTAAACAACACTTAGTCTTGAAAAGGAGTAAGAAAGAACACTTACCTTACGTTGGATCTGCTCAACTCATGATCTACTTACTCTTATTCAATATACGCAGTCTAAACTAATTGCAATATAAAGAAATACTGACTGAAAGCATGTCGTAAAGTATGAATGTATAGAAATATACAACTAATATCTTCCATGTGTGTAAAAATACAAATAGTTGATGTATATGAAAAATACAACACCTCTATGGGAGCTTCTTTAACAAACAATCATCACTTAAGAGCTATAGTGATGATAAAACATTACTTGACACATACTGCCCGACCATCCTAACCTTTCTAGAGTATAAAACCTGAACAGCCTAATGGATTCACTAGTAACTATGAAGAGGGTTGATCTAAAAAGTATGACCTTATTCTATCAATGATGGCTACATGGTTTACATGAAGATTTGAGTTAATCTAAACCTGCATCCCCAAATTTGTGCTCAATATTACTCCCAAAATATATATATACATATGGTGGCTCTTATATTTTTAAAACATACTGAATTTGTGATTTGGTATTAGCTTTTAAAAAGCTCTCTTGGAAATCAATGTTTCCTCTTTCATCTATTCAAACTAGCCATAGCCTCTCAAGAAGTATAACTTCCTTTCTTTCTCAAAAGTTTGAAAACATTTTAGTTTAAGATTTGAGGGACTACTTAGTTCCATTGTAAATCTTGAGAAATTAACTCAACTCTATGGTCTTTGCATACTTGAAATTTAACTCTTAGGGAATACTTACTTCCCTCATAACATTTGAGAATTTAAATAAACTCTTTACGTAAACCTTAAAACAAAGTTAAAATGTTTGTTTAAGACTGCTGTAGGAACTTACTTTGACTCGCTTCTTAACTTTTAGACTGGACTCTTAACTTCCTTGGCTTTGATCTTAACTTTCCTTTAATTGGATTATGGATTCAAAGATCATGATATCATGTTTATGTATCATTTTATAATATTTAGATGTTTTTTAGAGTATTGGAATAAACTTGGAGTGATAGGTACATCACTTAGGAACTAGTATGAAGAGATTGGAAAAGAGAGGGTCTCACGGAGGTCATGGCAAAGAGATCCAGAACCTGACGGACAGAGGTTGTCCTCAGGCGCTCTGTCTGGCGCAGCGCGCTAGAGCGTGACTGATAGAGTCTTTCCTGAGGGACTCTCAAAGGCGCGGTGCCCCAAGGCCTATCAAGCGGGTTCTCCAACTTTTATTCTCCAATTTTAAACTCTAAACCTCCCAATATTCCATGGATCATCGCCCAAATACTTAGAATGACTAATGTACTCAATACCCAGTAGTTTAGACTTGGAAAACTACTCAAAAACACGAATAAAAAAACTAAAGGTACCCTACAACATTATCAACAAAGATCCAAAAATTATTCACCAAAAGTTCATGATTTATCATTAATTCAATAGAAACTTTCATAATTAAACATGTTGGTGTGTGGGTGAACAAACCAAACAGAAAAAGTTATCACAAACCTCGATAGGGGTCACTCTCAGAGAAATCGATGCACGATTTTTGCGTTCTTTGATAGTTTTTGATCATCCTCTCCTTTTGTCTTTTTCTCCCATTCCCTGAGCCTTATGAATATTGTTAAACTTAATTGAGACTACGGTTTTACCCATAAATAACCCTTAAAATTAATTAGGGAATATTAGGGTGAAAAGACAACTTTGGCCTTACTAAATTCCTGATTGGATTTTCTTCAACTCAACAACCCAACTTCCGAAAGGCATGTCTCCCGCATACGACATCCCAATTTTGCAAACTTGGTGGCATTGGAAAGATGTTCCTAAGGGATTTCAAATGATATGAATAACTCATCCAAATTCCATCTTATATGGAAGTTATGGCCGTTTTGGAGTTGGAAATTTTCCAGACTTCCCTACTGAATTCCAAAAATTATTATTTTTTGTTTCTTATATTATTCTTAAATGTTTAAGGTTACGAGATGTTACATTAGGCACAGTTGATATTCAACTAAACATCTCAAACTTGGATGGTATTAATATATTTCTGGAGGAAGGTCGAATAATGTAAATGTTAATGTGCAAATGCTCCATCCCATAGACAACAAATTTTATTTCCATGTTATTTGATAGACATATTTAGTATATTCATGTCATAAAAAACATTCATACTGAATTGAAGTAATGCTGATATACATATTATTGAATTGTCCTTTTAATCTAATAATTTGTGAAGAACACGAAAAGGAAATCAATATGAAGATTAATCACTGTTCTCTAGTTGAAATTCTTCTTGTCAACACCCAACAAGAAAACAAATTAACTTAACAACAAAGCAGGTAATATCTTCATTTGCCTATTGGAAATCTCCTTTACCAAGCATATCCTTAGCATTTCCTATTTGATCAACAAAAGAATAGACTTAGCTAGTTATAACAAGAAAGTATACACAAACTAGAAAAATGAAGTATAGATTCACGTTCAAGGCAATGAGAAATAATAATTAAATCTAATCGTGAGGTTTGCAAAACTTGGTGTCTGATCACTATGTTTGAGTGTCAAAGGATGTCCGAAAAGTTGCACTAAGTAGAGTCCTTTACATAGGTGTGAAGTGCACCACATCTAATGAGAGGAAGTCTACAAAGTGTTTTAGGAGAACTTCTCTTTCTTGTTACTCTTATCGTGTGTGAGGTATGATCTAATTCCATTCTAACTCGACGTTCTATGTTTCAGATCATGCCTCCTCATAGAGGCGATGCTAGCAATGGGAACGCAGCTTCTACCTCCAATGATGAGTTCAGGAATTCCATACAGATGTCGGGTCACAGTATGACAAACCAGAACAATCCAGTTTATGCTCGTATTAATGCAAATGGTGGATAAGCATCAGCAACGGTCTGTGACTTTGTTAGGATGAATCCGCCCGAGTTCTTAGGATCACAAACTAATGAGGATCCTCGGAATTTCTTTGATGAGATCAAATAGATCTTTGAGGTAATGCAAGTCAGCAGGAATGATCAGGTTGAATTTGCATCATTCCAGTTGAATGATATTCCTTATATTTGGTACACTCACTTGATGGAAAATAGGGGTGCAAAAATGAACTTAAGGAAGGGAAACATGACGGTTCAACAGTATCGACTGAAGTTTAACCAACTCTTCAGGGTTGTTGCTCACATGGTTGCGGACTCTAGGGCTTAGATGAATATATTCTTGTATAAAATGTCAGATTTGATGAAAATTGTATACAGAAATGTTATGTTACTGGAAGATGTGAACATCTCTAGGCTTATGACTCATGCTCAGTAGGTTGAGGGTGATAAGATTAGGGAACATGTAAAGGAGAATAAGAAGCCTAGGACTGGGAACTATGAGTATTCTAAGTAGAAATCGGGTGGTAGAAATCACTCGAAGAATCAACAGAAACTTTCATCTCCAAACCCTTCATCAGCTTGTGTTCCATCCTCCAAGAACAGGTATGACTAGAAGGTTAGAGCACAAGGCTCTAAGTTTCATGGAAGTGTTTCAGAAACCATGACTTACCCCACTTACCTTAATTGTGGTAAGAACCATAAGAGCGAGTGTCTCACAGGAAAATAAGGATGATTTGGGTGTGGTCAATTTGGTCACATGTTGAGGAATTGTCCTTCTAGACAGGGTCAAGGAGGTGGTAATGGTTGAGCTCAGTCTACAACTTCAGTAGCACTAGCAAGTTGCCCAACTCAGCAGGGTAACTTATCTTGTACAGAAGGCAGTCAGCGCCAAAAAAAGGTTGTGTACTCTTCAGGCCCGCCAAAATCATGAAAGTTCTCCTGATGTAGTTGCTGGTACGTTACGAGTATGTGACCTTGATGTTTATGCATTATTAGATCTAGGGGATACTCCTTCCTTTTTAACTCGTTAAATAGTAGTCCAATTAAGTATCAACCCAGAAACTCTCTCAGAACCTTTCTCAGTCTCTATTCCAGCTGGTGACCCAATTATAGTTAGACGGGTATACAGAAATTGCCCTGTCACAGTCACTCATAAGGTCCTCAGCAAATCTTGTATAGTTATAAATGGTAAAATTCGACTTCATTTTAGGCATGGATTGGCTACATTCCTGTTATGCTTCAATCCATTGTAGAACTAGGA